TGGGCCGGTGCAGAGCCGGTGCCATCTGCGAGAGAGCTGCCGTGCTGTAATTTGGGGGGAGAGCTTTCTTAGTTCAAACGCGACTTCTGTTCCGCTCGTTTTCACCCTGGGATCCCCCTCGGCTGGAAGCGAGGAGGGAGGATGAGCCGGATCCCTCCCCGCAGACCCGAGGCAGGAGCTGGGCAGGCGGTAAAGAAGGGTCTGGAGGTTGGGGCTGAGGTTTTAAGCCCTCCAGGAGGAGGAACGGGAGAGACGGGGCGTTGGACGGCCAGGTGGAGAAGGCGGCTGAGATGCTTGGGGAAAGCTGGCTTGGAGGTGTGAAGCTGGAGGAAGTTGTTCTGGTTTTCCCTCCAGCCCGGAGATGCAGCCAGAAAAAGTTCGGATAAACACTGGGAGGTGTCCTTGGCCTCTCCTCCCCACGCCGGAGGATGCCTTGATGCCAGACTGGGCTTTCTGAGGGTTCTGTGGTTGGAAATGGTAAATGTCAGAATTAAAAATGACCTATCGGGTGGTTGCTCACGGTAAAACAGGCTGAGAAGCAAATTCCAGCCCGCTGCCCTTTTCCAGGGGATGCGGAAGAGCAGCTCTTCGCATCCACCCGCCGTCCTTTTTTCCAGGGATAAGGAGAGGCAGCACCTTCCCAAAGCCATCCCTGGCCGCTGTCAGGCTCTGTCACAACCTTTGGGGTTTGTTTAAGTGCAGCAGTTGGGAAAAAAAACAACCCAACATCTGTCTCTTGTCCCGAGCGCTGACTGGCAGCTTTTTGGGGGAGGGATTCCTCCTTCGTTACCTTTGATGGGGAGGGAGGGATTGACTTTCCAGTTTAATGTGTGCAGGGGAGGTCCAGCTTTGCTCTTGAAGCTCCTTTTCCTCCCCTTTCCCCTTCCTTTTGGGTCCCGTGCGCAAACGCTCCCCTCTCACGCTGAGCAAAGGTGTCGTGGATCATCTTAACGTGTCGACTTGCCCCCATGGAGGCAAATCCCGTTGGTTGTGCATCAGAGTTTTAATTGCACGAGGAAATCTTAATGGCTGTGAGCTTCTAAACGATTACATCCTTTACCTACCACGGCTGACCCGGCTGGGCACCGGTTTTTGGTGCCAGAGGTTTGAGCGGAGGTTTCCCGAGGCTGCGGCTCTGCACGTCCCCGTTGCCGTGCACCAAACCGGCAGCGAAGCTTTTCCACGCCGATGTTATCGGTGCAAAAGGGCTTCGAGCTCCGTGCTGGTAGCGCGGTGGCTGTGCCGCTGCCGAGCCGCGCTCTCCGCGAGACTCGCTCGGCCGTCTGAAATCCGACTCTCTTTTTCGGAGACTTTTCTTGACCTACGCTGCCCGTAAATAGAGCGTGTGCCCCCGTAGGTGAGCGTGCCGACCTTCCTGTCCTGACATCTGACATTTTCTCTCGTGTCGCGGGAAGGGAGGGAAAAGTTTCGCCAGGGACTTTGGGTTTTGAGCGTGTTTGTGGCTTTTTTGTGCCCGCGGGGGTTTTCTGTTTTCATCTCTTCTCCCTATGGAAGAGGCGTGTTACTGCTGTGGGAAGGAGTGCTGGTAGGTGGTGGTTGCTCGGGCTGGAAGCTTTTTCTCGTTTGAGTTGCACGGTAGGATTGTGCTTTGCGTTTGGTAACGAACCTGGATTCTTGGCGTTGCTGTTGTTCCCTGGAATTGGGTTTTTAGAAGAGCGGAGGTGGCTTTGGAGGCCATAATCGGGCATTGGCTGAATACTTCCATCCACAGAGGTTTTCTGTAATTATTTCTTTCCCCTCTTTTCCAGGAGATTCTCTCCCACCCCAGAACCAGAGGCCTTGAGTGAAGCGTCCTTCCCTAAAACAGGTTAAATTACACAGTGAACTATTCTTTGTTTTTAAAGGGAGGTGTGTCCCCAGGCCTTGCAGGAACTTCTCCAGGTGCCTCTGGAGCAGGCAGGACCCTGCGTGGGTTTGTCTCAAGAAAAATCCTCGGTTTGGCCGCGTTGGGCATCGTGGGGATGTCGCTCGTGGGACGTCATTGCAGGTCGTGGCCGCGGCTGCGGTGTTTCGCTGCCGTTTGCTCGTGGCTGAGGTTGTTCCTTCCCCGGAGATGCTGTGAAGGCGTCGGGCCCAGGACCTGCTGAGCTTTCCCTTGCTGTTTTCTAACCACTCCACCTCTATAAATATTTAACTTCTTATTGCGCCCTGCGACGCGTAAAGCTGACCCTAAAACCTGGGTCCTATAGCACAGAAACGTAACGGCGTCGGAACGACCGCAGGTGCCAGCCGAAGGATTGGCAGGGTGTCGCAGTGATGATCTCCCAACCTGTGCGTGCGGACTTGCACTGAAAGCAGCTCTGCTTGCAAAAGGAAACCGTCGTTTGCTCGACGGTTATTCCTGATTAATTGGGTTGGACTCGTGTTCCAGGGGTGTCACTACCCGAAGGGGATTTTTGCCCTTTTAAACGTGGGGTTTGGCGTCTTAGCAGCTTGTGATTTTTTTTTTTTTAATTTTTTTTTTTTCAGCAGACCACCATGCTGTGTAACGGTGCTCCAGCATCGCGTGAGAGCTCTGCACGCACAGGAAAAGCGAGGGAAAGCCGGGATGACGGCTGTGTGCTGGTTTTCTGTGCGGGGACGTTGCGGTCAGGCATTGATTCTTTCTCACCCAAATTGGTTTTGTGCGAAACAAAGCAAAAACTGGGGTGTGCCGAGGCTGCGGCATCACTGTGTCAAAGCCTACGAGGAAAACGAGTGTTTGCACACGCAGAAGTGCATCCTGCGTTCGTCCAGCTGCCCGGAGAATTTGTGCAGGGCGCAGCCTTTAAATTAATTAAAAATTTTCCCGTCTGTCTTACGGGGATCGGTAACATCCACGCTTCGTCCTGCCCCGGCAGCCTGCTCGGGCGAGGAATCCTTCTGCGGGAGGAAATGCCGGTCCTCTGCTAATGAGATGGAGCTGAGGGAAGTTCGTCCTCCGGGTTGTGTAATTTGCCTAATTGCGTACACGCGCTTTGATGCCGAGACTGGGGCATCGGCGCAGCTCTGTGATGTCTGATAAGTTGGGATTTGGGTGGGGAAGGGCTCTCCCGCTCGGGTTTGGGCAGCAGCGATAGGTGTTACTGCCCAGCACTGGAGGAAGGGTGGATGTTTAGTCTCGAGACCAAAGGGTTAAAGCCCTGTTAGGGTGGGAGCTGGTATTTGGCCAGAAAAATCCAGTTTTTTTCCTTGGGAAAGGTTTTTAATGTTCAACTAAAGGAAAAAAAAAAAAGCTGACTTAACTCCTCCTTCCTTGCAATTCTGTCAGCCCAAAGCCTGTAACAGGAGGGGCAGGCGACCTGACTCTTCATCAGGGCTTGGCGCTTCGTTATCGCCCTTCAGAGGGACCCGAGCAGCTCCATCCCTGCGCCACGTTTCACCTGGCCCTGGCAGCCGATCCACAGCTCTGCGGTTGCGTCCGTGCCGCTCGAGCGTGTTCGCTCCAGGCTCTGCTCGTGTGGATGAGTGGGAGGATGTTCTGGTTTATGAACTAAGGAGTAATTGCTCTTGGCCATTGTTATGGCTCAAAAGAACTGCTGAGAGTCAGCTTCTGAAACAATTTCTATTAAATACGTGACCGTACGCTCAAGGTGATCACTGATGGGGTTTAAAGTAACGTTACTCAACAAGTTCTTGTTGCCACGTGGCTTTTTGAGTGTGGAAAAGTGTCTGAGTTCGCAGGGAATGGAGACGGTGAGCGTTCTGCGTAGTTGCAATGACCTGGAGCCATCCTTCTCCCAGGAAAAGTTGGTAGCGCGGGGCTTGGGCACCCTCGCTTTGCCCAGCATCCCGAGGATGAAGAGCCCAGGCTCGTGCCGGCTCGGTGCTGCTCTCTGTGGCGCGGCGTGGAGCTCCCGCACAACTGGGAAGGTGCTTGGGCTGTTGCGGGTTAGTGGTTTGCGGTGGAGCCATCCCGATGGCTCCCTGGGGCAGTTCCTCCTGCCCTTAAGCGCAGGCTGGGCAGGAGTCGCGGTGGGTTTTGGCAGAGCTGTGAGGTGTAAAAGAGGTGCCAGCGGTTGCCTCGGACACCCGGCTCTGGTTTCTCGCACGTCCCGTGGCGCGGGGACCCACGGCGTAGGCTGTGCCGCCCGTGCCGCGCAGCATCTTCTGACCTCCGTGGGCAGCCCGAGCTCTCGGTTTGGGTCCGGGCTGGCTGGTTGCGTGGTGCTCAGCAAAAGGGCTCTTGGGTCTGGGGGCTTGTCGATGACTTTGGGGAAAACTTGAGGGGTCCACCTTGTGCCAGAAGGGCTCTTTCCGTGTCGGAGCCTGCACCGAGGTGCTTGTGTGCGTCACGCAGCAGGTTGCGGCTGCAGGAGGGAGGGTTTGGTGCTCTGACCGTGCCTCCACCCCGTCCGATGTGCCCCGAGGTCTCTGCCTCCCGTTTCACCAAGACAGTGCGGGGCTTTTGCAAGCACAGAGGAGGCGATGGTGAAAAATTTGGTGACCTTGACCCAAGTGAGACTTAAGATTCCCGCTAAGCCTCTCCTGGAGGGTAAACGAGCTCCTGGCTGCTCTGCTTGGAGCAGGGGAAGGGTTAGGGGCCGGTGTGCTGCCGGAGGCGAGCAGGCCGGTACTGTGAGGAAGACAACGAGCGTTTATCGGCGCAACACGGATGTCATTCTGCGTGCGGCTGTCTTTGCAGCGGCTCTGCGCCGATATACAAGTGGTGCAGGAGTCGTGTGCCGGAGGAGCTGGGCTTCAGTCTGAAACACAAACGCTGTTGTCTCTCAACATTGAAGCAAGAAACGTGTGGGGTTTGGGTGGATGGGGGGACTAATTTGAAAACAGCTTTGGCGAGAGCAGATGTCAGGTCGTCTTCTCAGACTACTCGGTCCGCTTTAATGCTCCTTTGCAGTTCTGCAGAGAGATGTCAGGGTGTGTCCTTTTTTTTAACTAAAAAAAAAGCTCAAATCTCTTCCTAGGAGGAGGAACTAAATCCCAAACGCATCATCTCTCTGTAGCCAGAGCTGAAATGAATCTGACACATCTCTTTGCAGCGACGTCCTTGCCCTGCCCATCTTCAAGCAGGAAGAATCGAGTTTGCCTCCTGAAAACGAGAACAAAATTCTGCCTTTCCAGTACGTGCTGTGTGCCGCCACTTCCCCCGCCGTCAAACTCCACGATGAAACGCTCACGTATCTCAACCAAGGTGAGAGAAGCCTTGTGCCCTCCGCTGGCCGCGTGCAGCCTCCTGTAAACCCCCTAAAAAATAAAATTCTGCCTTTAAAATTTCCCCTTGGGAATGGAAAACTCCTCAAGAGTAAACCCCAGATTGCTGCTGTTCGGAAGCGCCGCCTCCTTCGCCTTGCTGCCTGCCCTCTGCTTGCAGCGGTGAATCACCTGTAGGATTTAACCTAATTAAAATCTGCGCAATGTAAGGTGATTAACTGGTGCATCCGTGCTGGGGTGCTCTGCAGCGAGTGTGTTTTACAGGTTCGAGCTGTACCCGCTGCTTTCAGGTAGAACTGGAAGATCGGGGTTGGTGACCCAAGCCAGACGAAGCTTGTGTAATCGATTTCTTCCCTGGTCTTGGGTTAATAAAGATAATTCCTGGAAAGTGCTGCTGTCTGTTCCTGGGGAGGGGTGACAGAGCTGTGGCTCTAACGGCTCCTGCTCGTATGACCCCTTGCTAAAACGTGGCAAGAAGATCGAGTGGCATGTCGAGCGTGGCAGCAAAAGATGTCAGAACGCCAGAGGAGGGGCGGCAGCGAAGGTCCGTCCCCGACTAAGCGCGAGGTGCCCTTGTCCTTCCCTCAGGGCAGTCCTATGAAATCCGGATGCTGGACAACAGGAAAATCGGGGAGCTGCCAGAGATAAATGGGAAACTGGTAAAGGTAAGCGGAGAGCGCGGGTACACGCGTCCAGGCGTTCCATAGCGAGGTCTTGTCCTCTGTGATGGTGTGTGGGTGATAGGTCTGGCTCGGTTGGGGGTTTATTTTTCCCGTTCCCCTTCTCCCACCTTGTTGAGACCAGCCTGGCTGGTGGTGTCCAGCCAGTGTCACATTTCTCTCCCCAGGGTCCTTCTGGGCTTTTCTTTTCTTGCTTTGGCTTTTCCATGAAGCCTTCAGGCCCCTCTGTGACCGGGAAATGCCTGGCAGCTTGAAGACTGTCCGGTTTCCCGGGAAAGCTCCCACCACCAACTGTTTCTCTCCTCTAGAGCATTTTCCGGGTGGTGTTTCACGACCGGCGGCTGCAGTACACGGAGCATCAGCAGCTGGAGGGCTGGCGGTGGAACAGGCCTGGCGACAGGATACTGGACATAGGTGAGTCCCCGTGGCAGCACCCTGGCCGGGGCTGGAGGAGATGTGGGTGCTGGAAGGTGCTGTCGCGATTCTGCACTTTGAGAGACGTGGTTGGTTCTTCTGTACGTTCCACGTGAATCTCTTCGTCCTACTACAAACCGCAGCTCGTTCTCCGTGTGTGCCCCTGCAGATATCCCAATGTCCGTGGGAATCATTGATCCTAGAGCAAACCCAACCCAGCTCAATACGGTGGAGTTCCTTTGGGATCCTTCAAAAAGGACTTCTGTGTTTATCCAGGTAAAAGAGGAAAAGTGGGGAAACTCCTGTCGTGGGGGGTCTAGGGGGAAAAAATAAGTGTTCCAAAGGGGAAGAAGACGATTTTTTTTTTAACTCGGGGCACTGAAATAGCAGCCAGATGCTACGGTGGTGGAAGGATGTCAGCTAAAATACACCCTACGTCCTGCCTCAAGCAGTGGAAGGAGCAGCAGTTCACGCGTTAGCAAGGCAGAGGCACAATTGACCACCAATAAGTTGTTTTACGCGTTTTTGTGGTGGTTTAGGTCCCGCTGGGTTTGCGATTTGGGTCTCCATCCTGCTTAGATGCTTTTGCATATCTTGCCAGCCGCCTAAAACACCTCGTGGAAGTCTGGCCTTCCCGCCTGGAATAACAGGCTGCAGCATGTGGAGGCTGGTGCAGCCAAAGTCTCTGCCCTGCTAATCCGGGGCTTGCTTGTAACAGTAGGAGGTTGCAAAACTTGGAAGAATGTGGCTCCACCTCTGCCGTGGCATCTCCTTAACCCCTTAATGCTGGGGGTACTCCCTGCGGGCCCATCCCGGCTCCGTATTTCGCCCTTCTCCCCGGGCTGCCCTTTACGTGAGCGCTGTCCTGGATCCCACGAGGGGAATGGGAAGTTTGGGGTCAAACACGGCAGAGTTACTAACCGCGGGATGCCTTGCCTTCCCCCAGGTTCACTGCATCAGCACGGAATTCACCATGCGGAAGCATGGAGGAGAGAAGGGGGTACCCTTTCGGGTCCAGATAGACACCTTTAAGGAGAACGAGAACGGGGAGTACACGGAGCACCTCCACTCTGCCAGCTGCCAGATCAAGGTTTTCAAGGTACCTCGGCCTGCTGATGGCCTCTCCCTGCCAGGAAACAAACGGAGAGTCAGTCTCGATTCCCGCTGCAGCCCCAGCGAACGTCACGGGTGCAGGAGCATGGCTGAGCTTGGCTGCAAAAGGGCCTCTCGGTCCTTCTGGTCTTGCGTTGCCGTTCTCTCCCTGGTTCCTCTCTGTCTATCGAGTCTGGGTGCCGTCGAGGCTACAAAACCACTAAGCCAAGAACAATGTACAGGGAGAACGTGGGTTACGTTGCCTCTGTCTGAAACCTCCCACGTTTGGTCTCGAGTCTTATCAGCTTGCAAGATCCTCCAAGGAGTTTTGGTGTCTGTCTGAACTCCTCGCTTTGTTATTACGTGTTGCCGATGGTCCGTCTGCATCTGATGGTCCGTCTGCATCCGGCCTCTCCCGCAGCGCAGGTGTCTGGTCCCTGTTGCAAATAGTTTGCAGAAACTCAAAGCCACGACCGGGCGGTGGCAGCTGCGGCAGCACCGTGGCGTGGGCGGCTGAGAAGGGTCGTTCGTGCAGCAGCGCCCAGGTGTCGCGCCGCGGGGGCGGCTGTGCGGGGAATAAATGGGGGTATGCCGTGCCCGGCGGGCGTGTGCCGAGGTGGCCTCCGTTACCCCATCCTCCCCGTAACATCCCGCAAAATCTTATCTGTGGCTCCTCTCTTCTTCCTTTAGGGACGCTTGGCACAGAGCGGGGCCGGTTGTCTGGCCGAGCGCCTGCGTTGCTTTGCAGTTGTGCCGTGAAGTTGCTGCGGGATATTGGGCAGCGTGCCCTGCTGCTGTTGGCTTGGCACCTTTCCCCTTCCCTCTCTTCTCTTTTGCCTGTTTGGATTATAGGATTTGGAAGGCAGGGGTGTGATTTGTTAGGGCTTGTTTCAGCTCTGGCTGGTATCTCCATGCAAATAGCCGAAGCGGATGGCTGCGGAGTTGGGAGTTAAGGGATGAGGCTGGTTCCAAACAAGCACCCGGAGGTGTCTCCGCTGCATTTCTGCTGAGCTTCAGCTCTTCGTGCCAGGGAATGGGGTTTTTCTTTTTTGGCTCTGACAACCTTGAACCAGGAAAACCCAGAGTGAAGCTGTAGCTCCCTGCAGAAGGTGGTCTCTGATGGTCTCAGCCTTACCTTCCGCTCATTTGACGCAGCCGCTCCCCTGGGGTCAGGCCGCTCTTGGGGCCTGATGGCCTCTCCCCGCATATTTCCCCATAAATGGAGGAGATCTGTTCGTCACAGGGTGTCCTTCGTGGGTTAACGTGATTCGGGCTCCTGCCCTGCTCTTTCCTTTCTCCCCTCTGCCCCTGCCCCAAAGCTGGGAGCGTTTTGGTGCTTCCAAAATAGGTGCTGGGGGCCCCTTACCCACGCTGGTCGGTGTCTGGAGCACACATCCTTTCTAGGAAAAGATAAGAGCAACCGTTAGATTTGCATGGCAGAAACTGGCTAATAAAAGCACAGCTAAGCAGCACAGCTTGGAGCGTGGCGGTACCTTGTTCAGGTCTCGGCTTTGCTGTCCACAGGAAAAGAGATTTGGAGCTCGGGGGAGCACGAATGCTGTGGTACCCGGCTGTGTTTGCAGTCCTAAAACTTCCTCATGGGTGCCGCTCATCCGCTCAGGAGGCATCTGCATGTTGCAGGCAGCTGTGTTGGTCCACCGAGGCCAAATTCCTTCCGCTTGTGAGTGCAGGCAGAGACCGCGCACGGCTGAGTTTTAAGGGAATTTCTGTGGGGTTCTGCCGAGGGGAGCCCCAGGGAGCTTTGGTGGTTATAATGACGCTCTCTAACTTGCTGCTTTCTCTAGAGCTTTGAGTATTTAATAAAGGCAGCAAATAAAATCGTCTTAACCTCGCGTACGAGAGAGCGCACGGTTTTCCAAGGTCGTGGCAAAGGCAAGGACGTAATCGAGCGCGCTTGTGTTCTGGTGCGGTTTGTGGCACTGAAATGCTGCCTCTCAAAGTGGCTGGTGAAGGTGCAGAAGACGCAGCTCAGATGTGTGACACTAGAAACTGGCCTTTGTCCCCTCTGAGCCAGCGTCCTCTGAAAAAAATGTTTCAGCTCCTTGTTCAGATGTTCTGGGCTCCGTTTAGATCAGGATATTGGGATTGTTACAGGAGTGATGCTGTTGTCGTAGTTAATTCTCTGTGCAGATAGTCCCAGCCCTCTTCCCTCTGTAAAGCAACAAGTGGGTGAGTAGAAGGATGAGTCACCTTTTCTGGTTCTCGCATTTCTTGCACATCTATTCAACCGCCTGCTGCCGCCCTTCCACGCTGCTCTTCTAACAGGAATATCTCCTTTTCAGCCCAAAGGAGCTGATCGGAAGCAGAAGACGGACAGGGAGAAGATGGAGAAGCGAACACCTCATGAGAAAGAGAAATACCAGCCTTCCTACGAAACAACGATACTCACAGAGGTGGGGTGCTCTTTCATGCAGCGGCTGGTGTCGTCGTTTTAATGAAACCTGGCTTAACCTCGCTCGCAGGTGGCAAGGAACTGGCTGTTCTGCTGTGAAACGTTTGGCAAAGTTAATAGCTGCAAGACAAAAGCAAAATAAATTTTGTAGGCAGAGGAGGTGTTTCCTGCTAGACCTGAAAAAGGGCTCTTGTGCCAGGAGAAACGATGTTTTTTTCCCCACTGTAATAGATCATCTTGTAAAAGATTTTTACCTCTCCCTGCAAGCTTTGTTTTGTCCAGGTGGCAACTGGCCACCGAGGTTGTGAGCTGGCAGAAAACCCTGTTGTTTCCTCCCTCCGCTAGTGGAAAGCGTCGATCGATTAAAACGCAATTGTCTGAGGGGTCGGCGCTGAAAAGCGCTGGGGAAGGAGCCCTCGTCCTGCCCCGTGTGAATTCGGGGACGCTCGGCCTGGATCTGCTGCCTGGCTCGCCGCGCAGAGGTGCCCAGGCTGGCGGGCGCCGTGTGCTTCAGCCCGGTGTAGATCCCAGATCTCTCTCCATTTGAATTGTGTGACTTTTGGCCTTTTGAGATTAAGAATCACTAAATCTGAGCTTTGCGACCGTCTGCGGTGAATTGGCATGGCTTCTTTTAATCCCCTGCTTTATTCTTTAATTCTGTTTCATAGTCGGTTGTCGATCAGCAAATAGCTGTTAACCTGTGCTGACCAGAGCAGATGCGTGCGCTTGTTCAGAGCAATCCTGTGACTCTTCTGGCTTTTCCTTTCCAGTGTTCTCCCTGGCCAGAGATAACCTACGTCAACAACGCGCCATCCCCTGGTTTCAACAGTTCCCACAGCAGTTTCTCCATTGGCGAGGGGTAAGTCCGGAGAAGCAGCTGCCTAGCCATCGATTCCTGCCTTGCATGAGAGATTGATGTGTCTGAGCTAGCGAAAGGAAGGGCTTGGTTCCAAGGTGTACAGGGGGGGGTGGAATCAGGCCGTGTCAGTGGGGGGGAAAATAAAATTAAAGCCCTTGAAGCTGAGCACCGTTACCTTTCCTGGCTGCGGCAAAGCTCGGCTCTTGCTTGAGAAGCCTGCGTGCGTTCGATCAGCAGTTCAGCTTCCAGCCGGCTTCGCTCTGCCTTTCCCCATCACGTTAATCCTCCACCATAAACCGTTCGTTCTTGCAAAGAATTACGCTGCGATGATGATGATGGTGGTGTCGCGGCCGCGTAGCTGTCTGTCACTGTGTTTCGGTGGTCTTGGTTATGGGAGCTGGAGGGTGGTGGTTGCTGCCTGCTGGGATCCGGTGCCGGAAGGGGAAGCGCGGCGCTAACCTCGTGTTCTGCTCTGTCTGGCTTTTCTCCCCAACCTAGCAATGGCTCTCCGAACCATCAGCCCGAGCCACCCCCTCCGATCGCAGATGTAAGTCACACCTCCGAGCTTATGCTTGTGGTAAGGATGGTGCACAGGTCAGAAAACGGGATTTTTGGGCTGGAGCGGGGGCGGGTTTGTGGGTGGCTGTACTTTGCCGCGGAAGAGGTTGCTCTAGTTTACCATCTTTGGGGAGCGTTAACTTCTTTTTGAGTCCTCTTTGGAAAAAGAAGTGACAGGGTGAAAAATGACCAGCACAGCCACGCGGAGGTGTGAGCAAACCTTTTGTAGCTTGCTGTGACCTTTACTTACTGCCTTGATCTTCACTCTGCTTTCCCCTTTGCTTCCTTCCTCTTTCTCTGTCCCTCTGAAGCCTTTTAAATCAAAACCTGTCCAGGCTGCACCCTTTATTGTGTGCGTGTGCTGCGAGCCTGGCACGCTCGGATCTCGATTTAAGACTCTGATTATAAACACTGACTGAGCTGACCTGTGCTCGTTTCTCACTGGAAGTGGTTTCCACGTCACCTCTGAGGCTGTGACCCTTCTTTTCCTACGTTGCAGAACCTTTTACCCACCAGCACACCCCAGGAGGCCCAGCAGTGGCTGCACCGAAACCGTTTCTCCACTTTTTCTCGGCTTTTCAGAAACTTCTCAGGTAGGTTCCGACATCCCCTCCGTGTCTGCCCCTTCTCTGTGCCGAGTCGCTCTGTCTCCTCTTGCTCCTGAGGCCGTCTTCATGTTACCGCCGCAAATATAAATGTTTGTGGGTTGTTTGTTTTTTTTTTAAATCTCGGGGGTTTTTTGTTACACAGTAAAACTTGGCTTCCTGAAAGCTGTGTTCTTTGTTTCTGACCTCACTCTCAACTGACAAAATAGTGGGGACTGGGGTGGTTTCTCTTCCAAGAGCTCGCAGCGCCCTCCGATCGTAAAACAAGCTGAGAAATGCTGATCCGGGGGAAAGCCCTGTGTGTAAAGAAATCCTTGGCGTGTATTTTCCTCTCCTTTCCTGGTGATATGATCTCCGTTATCCAGGGTCGCCGAGGCGCTGGATAGCCGGCTGTAAATGATAGTGCGGGACACAGGGTTGCACCGAAAGACGCTCTTGCAAAACCAGTCTGGAAAAAAAATCTTACGAGATTCCTTCTGGGGGGAAGCACGGGGGGGTTGTTAGAAATAATTTGAGAATGGGGTGAGCTCTGCGAGCGGGAGGGGGAGCCGGCGCAGCTGCGGTGCCCGGAGCCCCCTATTTGGGCTGGATTGGGTGACTTTCTTTCCTTTCTGATTTTTAAAACTAGGTGCAGACTTACTGAAGCTGACCAGAGAAGATGTTATCCAGATCTGTGGCCCTGCAGATGGCATCAGGCTCTTCAACGCGTTAAAAGGACGGTATGTTGTTTGCTTAAAAGCTGATCATGGATGATAGGTAAATTGTATTTGTTTTAGCCTGTTTGCTTGGCTCTTGCTATTAGAGAGAACAGAGTTTCATTAACCTTCCTGAACCTCTTTCAGTCAAATTCGATAGCTTAGCCAGCAGGGTAAGCGCTCCAGAGACAATTTGGGGAAGAAAATCCACATGGGAGAGAAGCGTTAGAAATGATCTTACTCTTTGAGTGTCAGGGAACCAAGCTGCGAGCCAGAAAGTCCTGCCGATACAGTATTCGTTCCCTCCGTCCTCTGAACCACATCTCGGTGGAATTACCTTCCCAGAGAGGGAATATTCCTTTGCACTTTTCCCTGAAGAAGCAGGGACTGGCGTTTAACTCGCCTCCTGTCTGAGCTGGAGCGTTTCAGAAGGGGCTGCTGCAGCCGGGCAGAGAGGGACAGGGTGGGCCGTATCCCAGAGGGAAGGTCTGGGGAGGCATCGGCATGGCTGGGAAGCATTCCAGGGGGTTAATGGACTGCTGCCGATGGCTCGGAGATAGCGGGGAAACGCGGTCACGCTGTGCTGGGGAGAAGGGCACAAAGGACGGGAGACTCTGTCGGCTTTTGCGCTGCAAAATGAGACTGAACGAGAAGGAACGGGCGTGTTATCGGCAAAGCTCGGTCTGAACCTGCTGTTCTGTCCTTGGGAGCGAACCGTCCGATGTAGCTCCTCGGTAGCCAGCTGGCCACCGTGTCCCCATGCCGACTTCGTCCCCTTTTCGCAAAATGCTTTGTTGCATCAGCAAGGTGGGGACGACCGTGATGGTTTTGCTTCGAGATGAGTTTGTCGACCTCCTCTTTTTCCTTCTGAGGATACTGGGGCGGGAAGATCGTTGGCAAAGTGTCTGGAACTAGAGGTGTCCGTCAGCAAATCCGACGGTGTTCACTCACTGCTCTGTCCACAGGATGGTGCGGCCCAGACTGACCATCTACGTGTGCCAGGAGTCCCAGCAGCTGAGGGACCTCCAGCAGAAACACGAGGACGGGGACACCGTAACCAGTACTTTTTTTGGTAAGGGCTTTGAAGCCTGGCTGCGGGTACGTGGGCTTGGGTTGCTGCCGACAGGGCGAGGGGGGGAATTAACGGGATTCAGCAAACAGAAACACAGTGGGGGCTGTTTCCAGCCCCACTGCCCACGGCACTCAGCACCAGTTACCTCCGATCCCCCCATCCCCACGCCACGTGCAGCAGCTCGAAGAGGGTCTGCGGCTTTTATTTTCAGCTGCTACAGCCTCGTGTTGGCTGCCGGCATTCTTGTCTCCTCACGTGTGAGCTCGCCTGTGACCTAATGCAGGCCCCGTATGCAAACCGAGGGGTTGTGCATGCTCTCCTTCGGCAAGGGTGCCACAAGATCGCGGCGAACCCTTTTCACTTGCCCTGGTCCTACCCAGCTGATTTTTCTCCTCGCCCGCCAAATGGGTGGCTACAGAATGTGAGTGTCGGCATGTTGCCTGCTCTGAGCCGACAAATGATAGCTCTTGTGAGAATCCAGCATTGCCCAGACAATGAGTGACCTACATTTGTGGAGCAGCCTGGCGCCGGTTTATCCACTTCCATGATTGCAGCAGCAAGTGCAAAAGCAAACAGCTCGTCCTTTCCTTGCTCTGCTCCAATTTGGATCCTCTCGATCCCCACCCAGGACCTGCTGAGTGGGAGTGGGGGAACGAGGGGGGCTCTGGGGAGGCGCTTAGGGCAGCGTTTCCATCCTGCTGGGATTGAAAACCGCCAGGAATGGTACAAAACACTGCTGGGCTGATGCTAGTCAAAATAGAAGCTTTTTGGGACAAGGACTGCATAACTACAGAGCAAGCATTGCAGGACGCTGATGACACCCAAGTTACTATGGAGCTGATGCTTGTGTAGCTCGGGGCACGCCGCAGCCGTGTAGCAAGAGCAGACACCAGACACGTTGCAGTTGCGTGTAGATTTAGCAGCTCGGGCTTGGAAAGATGATATCTGCGTGAGTCAGACGCAGCACAGCGGGCGTTTAACCTGCTGAAAAGCAACACTCAGCAGACTGGCTGCGCACGGTCCCTTCTCAACAGGGCTGGGATATTCCTGGGCAGAGCGTGGCATGTTGGCGGTGCTCCCCGAAGTGTCTGCTCCCTAAGTTAGCATGCCTGGCGCTAGCTGAAGCGTCTCTGCATCCACGATGTAGACACGGAAGCTCCGCTCGGCGTCTAGCTGTAATAGTTCTTCTCCTTGCAGTGTACCACGCTATTTACCTGGAGGAACTGACGGCGGTGGAACTGACGGAAAAGCTGGCCCAGCTCTTCAGCATCTCTTCCCAACAGATCAGCCAGATTTACAAGCAAGGCCCGACGGGAATACACGTGCTGATCAGTGATGAGGTAACAGCCTCTGGGTGCTTCTTATTTTCGACCTCTTGCACTGGGTTGCTTCAGCTGCTTGGTGTCTGATTGTGCTCTGAGCTCCGCTGTGGAGGTTCGCAGGACCCCGGGGAACGGCTCCCCTGGGCAGGTCTTCAGGAAGGGCCCTGCTCAGTCGCCTCTGGTTTCCAAAGGGTCGGAGTTAATCCTTGAAGCCTGTAGAGCCGAGGATGTTGGCGCTTGGGGGTGGTGCTCTGCTGCTGGGGGCACCTGGCTCAAACCCGTGGCGTTTATCAGGCGTGAACGGCTCTCCCTGAGCTAGCCCAGGCTGCGTGCACACCCTCCTTCGTGCTTGGGTTTCTTCTAGCTTTGCTGTAAAAACAGGGAGGGGAATTGCTGTGGGAGGATTTTGCTTTCAGACCTGCATCCCAGAATCTGAGGGTTTCTCTCTTGGCTTGCTGGATCGGACCTTCAGTTCTGGAGAGCTGGAGGAAGGAGTAAATATTTATGGCCGGTGCCTTTCCTACGTCCCAGAGCACTAAGCTCCTGCGTGAGCAGCTTCTAGCCCTTTCGGTACTCTAAATCAATGTTCATCGCTGAACGGCAGAACACAAAGCCTTCGCTTAGGGCTGTGAAGCGCTTCTGCTGTGTTTAAATACAGCCTCAGACTAAACTGGCTTTTGTGGCTTCTTTCAGATGATACAGAACTTCCAAGACGAATCCTGTTTCGTTCTGGACACCATGAAAGGTGCGTAAATGCCCCGGTTCCATCTTGTATTTCCCTTCCGTGCTTCTTGGGGGACCTGCTCTGTCAGATGCGCTCGACCCAGCGGGTTCCTTTGCTGTTGCAGGTGGCTCACGAGCTTTGCTTCTTTTGCAGCTGAAACCAATGATAGCTACCACATCATCTTAAAATAGGAGGGGACGGGATGAGGAAGACCCGCGATCCTCTCATCGCGCATGAAGACCCTTCACTTCCAGCACAAGGACACGAGCAGAAATCTGGAAACTCCTGGGCACCCTCTGGAAAGACCCCGAGCTGTCGGTTCCTCGGCCGTCTTTCTTGCAGGGAACCTCCTTGCTCTGACGGCATCTAAACGGCCGTTGATGGTAACGTGCTGCTTAATCGCTGAAGCTCTGAGGCTTGAAGTTACCAGGTCGCAGCTCTCGGTAGAAATTTGCCGTTGGGACCTAAGACCTGCGTGAGGGCTTTTTCTATGGCAGGCGCGCTCTGCTTTTCTGAGAGGCATCAGCTCCCGTGACGCTCGCAGACTGGCAAGAGAACATGAATTAAACTGGCCCAACAAAGCCAAGCGGCCCTCGGGCACGTGCTGAGCTGAGCAGGTCTCAAATCCGCTATGTACTGTGCTGATGGAGTGGTAGGCTAGGGCCGGGAGGGATTTTCTTAAAAGATTTTTGTTAAGCTTTCATTTAATATTACAACACATCTGTTAGACGAAGGCGGTGATTTCATTTTTCTCCTCTCCACCCACCCCGAAAATGGCATTGGCTGTGCGTGTGCAGGGGTGGTTGTGGTGCCGTCCTTCCTCCCTCGCGAGTGTAAGGTCGTCAGGAACTTTGTATACAGATTTAGTGGTGTAAAGCTGGAGCAAACCATGGAGTGAAGCAGAGTTGGATATAAAGAAATAGCTCATTAGCTTGGTCTGTGGGATTCTTTTCTGCGTGTTTTAGGGAGAAAACCAAAACTTGGCTATCTCTGCTAAAAATTTGGAGCAATGTCTACCTGCTGCCTCATTTTCTGCCCCTGCGTCCCCTGCCCAGCGTTGGGGCAGCTCCTGCGCTAAGGAGGAGGCAGACAGCAAGTTCAAAGGGTTATCGAAAGCCGTTGGACTTGATGGCGACGAAAGTGCCTCTGTGCAGGTTTCCAGAACAGCCCTGAAATCTCCAGGGTGAAGGAAATCCTGTTCCCCGTCCATAACGTCCCCTAGTACAGACCGAGATGCCTGGGGTAGCGCCTGCCTCAAACCATCAGCACTACCCGAGGACATTTTGAGCCGAAAAATAGGGGAAAAATACGATGTAAAGCGGCGCTCTTCTTTTTAAATAAGGCTGCAACAAGATCCAGCACGAGGCAGGTGATGTAGGTCCTGGCTCAGGCCGGGGAGGGCTCGTGGGGTGAGTGAAAGCACCGGTGGATGTGACAATCACGACAGCCATGTCCCTGCTGCTAAAATACGGCTGCTCTTCTGCGTTTGTAAGCCATAAAAGTTTCTGTTCCTATCTTCCTCAGCCAGCTGTCGTCTTCTTGGAGATGCAATCAAAATACCTAATGCAAATTAGAGCTGGTTCAGTCCTGGCCAAACCTTCCCATCCTTCGCTGGCTCCCGCCAAAGCCTTGTAAATCGGTCAGGGGTAAAGATGCCAAGAAAAGTGATTTAAAAAATGGAATAATTTTGCTCACTTCTGCCCATGAACACCAAGGACCACCAGCTTTGCAAGTGAAGATGCTCGTGTTCGGCCACTTGCCTTTTGTACGCATTTTGGTACCTCCAGTGATTGCGAAGATGCATGTTTTAATCCTAGTTTTTTTTTTTCTTCCATTGGTATATGAGGAGTGTGATGGGCCCGTACGGTAGTGATGCGGGCTCGGTAAATTTGTATCGATGTTGCTGGGTGCGTGCGGCTGATTTTTAAGCTATCAGATGAGGAAAATGCCAGCAAAGTGATTTGTCGCGCGTGGTGGCTCTGGGAGCACGAAAACCCTGAGGTGGATGGGGTAGCAACGGGCCAGTCCTTCCTGCAGCCCCGGTTGCTGGCTGGAAACAAGGGGGGA